TGTTGGATGGCATCAAGCCATCCTGCGGCAACGGGGTGCCAGGTGATGGCAGGTGATGTAACCTATGGGTACCTATGGGTACCTATGGTCTATGGATGTTTTTGGATGTTTCTGGTAGAGATATGGAGAGATATCCAAAGTTCACAGGCTTTAGAAAAACCAAATCATAATGGGCACTAGCTTGTGGATGTTGAGCAATGCAATGCCCTCAATGCCCCTCAGCTGTTTTGGAGGCGGCCAACCTTGTGACTTCGGGGGAATTCTAGTTGGTGAGTGAACTAAACATTGGCCAACTCCATTCCAAATAGGGGGATAGACCAAAGCCTAAGTTCCCATTCAGTGGGCTTCTTCCATTCACGGCTTTTAAGTATAACTCTATATATATATATATGGTTACTGATTAAGCAGTACTATATATATGGTTAAGTTATAATGAACTATACATGGTTGCTATTGGTTATTACCCTCTGGTAAACTAACATAGACCTTGGTAGTTGTCGGGCTTGGAAGACTAGTTTCCATTTTTTAATGGGTGATTTTCAGGGTCAACAAGTTAATTGTGACTAGTTTCCATTAAAAATGGGTGATTTTTTCAGGGTCTATGTTAACTTACCAGGGGGTAACATTTACTAACCACATCTAACCTGGATCTGGGATGATCTCATCCCCTGGCCTGGAAGCCCACCCGCCATGCAGGCCACGAAATCAGCGAATTCGCTAAGTTGCCTGGCAGCGTTAACGCACCAAGGACAGGCAACGGGCGTCAAAAGATACGCTGCTGGAGTCTGGTGACGTTGGAAAATGGCAGACATAGGCTGAAAATGGTCCATTTATGATATGAATGGATGATGTATGATGATCTACATTGATTTCTAGCTGTTAAAAAACACATGGCATGTTCCATATCATAGCTATGTTAGATTCCCAAAGCGCATTCAAAAATAGTATTGGAACATCATTTCTTCGATCCCATTCCGACAAATTGGACCCCGGGAAGGCATTAAAATATAAACCATCCATGACTGGGAATGGTTTCTATATACCACCCATTTCTACATGGTGATGACTTGGGGATGGTGCAACAGTGTTTTAACCGCCTGCCAGCTGGGTTTCATCCGAGACGGGAACATCCGACCTCCCAGGAGCAAACTGATCACAACCCCCAGGTCCAACGCTCCAACCTGCTTCTTTGGGCTCTAAAACCACCTGAGCTGCTTGGGAACGAGGTTCCTAATGGTTCCTAATGGTTCCTACAAAGTGGTGCCCCATAGTTAGCTAAGTTGGTTTATAACTCCAATAACTATGGTTTATGGCAGATATAACTATAGTTAATGGGGTTTATAAACCAACTTATAACTGGGGGGCACATGGGGGCACCACATTGTAATGGTCAGAATCAGATGTGAAAAAAAAAAAAAAAAAAAAAAAAAACAAAAAAAAAAAAAAAAAATGAAAAAAAACAAACAAAAACACAAAAAGAATGCACCGAAAAAAACACAATAAAGCAAAACAAACAACCATAGAAGAACAACACGTACCACAACCCGCCAACCCACCACAACCCCAAGCCGCAACAAAATAAACCCCACAAATATGAGAAGATGTGAAGATGAGAAGATGTGAAGATGAGAGACAGACCCCCACTATTGGAAGAACCCTGCGCTCAGACGCTCTCGGGAACAAACATCCAAAAATTGGATGTGCTGTGCTGAAGCCAATGTCATAATCCCCCAGTCATCACCATTTTCTGTGTGGATGGGATTCCAACCAACCAGTCATGGGAGTTGTTTTCTGGGAGAGCTTCCGAAATCCAAGAGTGCGCCATGAACTCTGAGAATTTTCACCCGATGGGTAACATGGCTGGCCTGAAAAACACCACTTTCAATAGGAAACATGCGATAATTGTGGAACTAAATAGCTCATTCTCAGAATAGGAACATATTGGTATTGGATGGGTAACGTTTATTCCAGCAAGCCATCTTTAATTACTGGTGGGTGCTCAGAATCATCCTGCTATCTTTCATTGACCATGGGGTATCCTAATCCACTGGTTAATCATAATAATCTTCTCTAAAAAATTGCACCTCAGGTGGTATACCCAACCCAAATGCTCAATGTATGGAATATTGACTAACATTTTCCCCAACAATGACCCAAATGTTGGTACATACACCACACATGGAGCACATAAGAATAAAATAGATAGATAGATAGATAGATAGATAGATAAATAGATATAGATAGATAGATAGATAAATAGATAGATAGATAGATAGATAGATACCACGAGTGTCTACATATATATATATACATATATATATTATACAAACAATGCGTATATTATACATTTCAATTATATTCATCAATTATATTATGTAAGAAAATTAGCACAAAGACAGCCTACATATATGTATCATGTATCCCTATGATATTTGTGCAACCATTATTTGAATCCCAGTATTGTCAACCCCAGATTATCTAAACCATAATTTATTAGGGGGGCTACTCCTCCAATAGTCATTATCTGTTACTTTTTATGGTACCCTTCTAATTAAACAACCGTTTGGGGATTATTAATCAATGATAGCAAATATAAATGGGAATACCCCGTGATGGTTATTAACACTTAGGGACTATAATACATTATAAATTATAAATGGTTAATCATCGTTCTAATAACACATTATACTCTCTGGTTATTTAACATAGCCATGGTATAGATGGCCCATAGTTATAGATGGTGTACCTATTAACAATGGGTGGATTTTCCATGGCTATGTTAGTCATAACCAGATGGATCCAGATGGTAACAATTCCCATTCACGGGGTATTCCCGTTCTAATTCCACCACGGCCCTGCGATCATCTGCGATCCAAAGTTCCACGGCTGCTTTGTTCCCCGCTGGTTCACCAGCGCCTGGATTCGACGAAACGCAACGAGACGTAGATTCTACGACGTCTGCCCCGGTGATCTCTGGTGATTTTTTACCATGTTTCTATGGTATAGAGATATGTATATATATATATATAGATGGCCCTAATAGAAATAGATGATTGATGACCATTTGCCTATTAATGGTTAGTAGTTATTAGCCAGCATACTTGATAGCAGCCCCTGGTTGTGTCACAATTTGCTATTGTATAGGCCCATAGAAATAGATGATCAACATGTTGATGATGTACCGTTCTTTGAAACTGGTGGATGTCCATAACTATATAAAATAACCGGAGGGTATATCCATGATGATGTATATACATGAAATGTTGCTAGGATTGACGATATGTTGAATCTGCGAAATCCCCTTCTCCAAACGCCCGCTGAGGGAGTACGTGGGAGCTACAGCCATGATCCGGCAGGTGTCATCATACAAGAAGCCTTGGGTCGCTTTCGCACAAAATACTTTAAAACGACCAAACATATCTAATCACCCTTATGACCCTTATCCAATTCAAATCAAAATCCGTCGAATATGAAATTGGCAACATGGCACATCGCATAAATCTGCTACGCGAAGAACTTCTTTCAGGCGTTTGACCCTGCGACGACCAGACGGTCCTAGCAGGTCCTAGCATGTTTGTCCGGATTCGCTTCCATTTTTTGATAACAAACATACATACCAAGATCCAAGCAAAATCATTGATTTTCTTCCAATCCTGAACGTCATGAATTGCATGGCTAGCTACAATTAACATGTTGAGGTCACCCGATATGAAGTAAACATCATCCAACTAACTTATAATTATAGGCTAGGCACAAACACCCAAAAACACACCATTCCTCTGGCAATCAAAAACATGGCAATGGACAGTATAGATGATTTTCCCATTAACACCATTTAAAACCCATGCTTGGTCTGGGAAATTATAATAATTCACTAGCCTGAACCTTGCGGCCATTTTGGGATGATTCCCCAAAAATTGCGCATTATTACAGGCTTCGGTTGCAGTGAGGTCATTATAATTTACCCAGACACTGATAGTTCAATGATTTTCCATTGTATAATAACATCAATTAATCAAATAGATGAATTTCCCATTCAAACATTCAAAGGTTGGTGGTTTCAACCCTGAAAAACATGAAAGTCAGTTGGGATTATGACATTCCCAACTGAATGGAAAAAATGAATTCATGTTCCAAACCACCAGCCAGATGTTAAAACCCATGATGGTATCAACTCTATATCCCCAAATCATCTCCAGATGATTGGCCCGCCTTTAGGGTAGTTGCTCGCAGAGAAGATTGTCGCAGCAATCATGTGCCTGGCAGCTCGATGTTTATACCATGGAAAAATGACTGTTTCTGCCATAAACATGGAAGTTAAAATAAGTTCAATACATATTTCTATATACTTCTTAAATCTTCTTAGCATTTTTTGAATCACTTTACCGGTTTCCGGAACCAAATCAAGCAAAGGGGAGTTCATCACCGAACAAACCGGATTTCATGACCTAGCACCAGAGTCAATGGATTGCTTTTCGAGGGAAATTCTACGCGGAAACATGGTGCTTAATTACACAACATACTTTTATCATTAGGGCTGAAACCTGTACCCTCTCCTCTGGTAATTTAACATAGCTATGGAAAATCACCATGCTATTAATGGGAAAATCCACGAACTAAATAGCCATTTTCCATAGCTATTTTGACATAACCAGAGGGTACATTTACCTTCAGCCAATTCGAATGGAGGAATTGGCCGACTTGCCGACTTACCAAACACATCACCGGAAACTGCGCCGGATCCACCCTTTGGAGTTGGCATGTTCCACCGAAAAGCCTGGCACGGCTGCGCGGAAAGAGATAGCTCACTAGGATCCTGATGAATCACATTGTTTTTAGGCAAATGAACCATAAATAATAGGATATTCATTGGATATTAGGTTGGGATGTCATGCTTTACATAAACAAATTCAATATCCAATTAATATCACCAAGTCCATTTACACCTTGTTTATTCCAGGCATTTAATTACTGTACATGGTTTTTTCCACGTTTTTTCACTATACCCCTTCCGTAAAGCCAAACCCCAGAATTTCGAGCACGGCACCCTCTTGACGCTTCTCATGAGACCGCAATAAGACCTTCAGCTTGTTCACTTTCAGGAACTCCTGGCCCGTTGAGCCCAAAATGCTGCTAGTCACGGTGGCTGAGGTAGCCGATAAAAATGAAAGTCGGTTGGGATCATCATCCCAAATGGGGTGAAACACACCCACACATAATATATATATATATATCACATAATATATAATATATAATCATTATATATATATAATCATATAATCAAATATATATATAATCATATAATCAAATATATATATATATATATAATCATATACATAATATGTATGCATATGTATGTACATATGTGTGGATGGGCTCCTGTAGCATTTGTATGTATGCATGAATGCATGTATGTATGTATGTGTATCATATTACAAGAAGAACACAGCAACCACAATAGCTCAAGGGACCAAATCCTTGGCTTTGATGTCCATCACATATCACTATTTTCACTGTGGATACAAGCAGTTGGAAAACCTGCAACATCTTCCCACAAATGGACTTGGGACTTAGGTTTTGATTCTTTTGATGTCCAGATTTTATTTATCTCACCTTCGGGCTCAAATGCTTCAACAAAACATAGCCAAAAACAAACAACACACATTCGATGCGCAATCCTTGAACCTTATCGGCCATCAACTCGGAATGTCCAACAGCTTCCGCTAGGTGAGTTTCACAGGGGTTTCCATGGGGATACCCCAAGCAGCTGAATGGTTTATAACGGAAAATCCTTTAAACAAATGGATGATAACTAGGGGTCCCCCTATTTTAGGAACCCTCATATATAATCATATATACACAGCAATGGATATGAAAAATCTCGGACCTCGAGGTTCACGAAAAGGACATCAACAAATCGTGGAAGTTCGCATCGATTACCGCACATTTGCACAGAAATGATGTACGGCAAATTTCGGGGGGCATGTGGCATGGCTTGAAGGAAAATGATGTAGGTGCACAAGCATAATAACACCTTCCAAGGGGCATCGCTATTTGGGAACAAGGGAGCGGTGTATGGCATTGGGTTTACCACATCCAAATAGCAGCATCTACTTCGGTCATGTAGGGTACCCCGCGGTAGTTTAACATAGCTATGGAACATCTCTATTTTTAGATGATTCACCATGATTTCCCATGATTTACCTATTACAAATGACACTTATCCATTAGCAAACTGTTAAATCACCAAAGGGTTACCCTCTGGTAATTTAACATGGCTATTGAAAATCACAATTTGAATAAACCATCTATTTCGATTAGGGCCATTTTCCATATATATATATGTTAGTTTACCAGAGGCTATTCCATGTAGGCTACCCCCAAAACATCCCAGCGATTTTTCGGCGTCGCACCTGGGTCACCTTGCTATCGAAGAAGGCCCCTGCACCACGCTTGCTGGGGCCGCGCATGTTGGGCTTGGCCACCGGATCCTGGACCAGGTCGACAGGTCGACAGGTCGACATCTGACATCTTGGGGGCTAAAAATAAAAGGGACATGGTTGAAAACCCATGATTTAATGGTGCAAAAAGCCCATGATTTTTCTGCTTTTGATGGTTGACATCCTTTTTTAATCATGATGTTTGTTGGGCTTTTGATGGTTGAAATCCTATAAATCATGATTTTTGTTGGGCTTTTGATGGTTGAAATATGTTGAAATCCTATAAATCATGATTTTTGTTGGGCTTTTGATGGTGAAAATATGTTGAAATCCTATAAATCATGATTTTTGTTGGGCTTTTGATGGTTGAAATCAATTTCTAATCATGGGATAAACCCACCTATCAACCATGGAAAAGCACCTTATTTTTCATGGGTAAATCCACTCTGTTTACCAGAGAGTACTGGGCTTTAATGGGACATATGATCAGCACTCTGATTTTGGGTTTATGGGATGTTTTTGGGTGGCATTTGTTTCGGGGGATTTATATGGATCTAATGGGAGATATGTTTCTTGGGGTTTATGTTTATCTGAAAATGGTATTTAATGGGATTTAATGGACTTAAGAGATGGGACATGGATAATCAACACTCTGATTTTCAATGGGACATACTGTGGGAGGACCCGGATCATTTTGAAACACCGGATAAGGCTCATTTTGAAACACAGAGGATAAGGATCATTTCGAAACACAAAAGCCCCGGATAAGGATCATTTTGAAACACATCCAAGATACTGCTGTTTAAGACATCTGGAAGGCATAGCATTTCTTTGTAACCACCATGGCGCTTGTAACACCACAGCACATTGATGAAACCCTAGCAAATCAGCTCTTCAAACAAAAACAATCAAAAAAACAAGTTAGCTCTTACAAGGAGATTCATCCCTATCATAAATGCAATGTGACCGCAAAAGGCTTGAGTCTTTTCCCGTCAGCCATCTATTTGTGGCAGTTTTGTCCGGCAATTCATGAGGATCTCGTTCGAGACACGTATCAAAA